GTATCCACCCATCCATCCTGTATCCATCCATCCATCCATCCATCCACACACTTACTACATTACCACTTTTTTCCTTATCTTTTTCATTCTACACCACTTAAAGTTGGCTCTTTTATTCCCAATTTCTGCTTTCCATACCATTTCCCCTAGACTAGCCCATCTACCAGCTTGTTCATTCATTCATCCAGCGCCCAATCGGCATTCAATTTTTTCTTCTTTTATATTCACTAAATCATTAAATTTTAAGCTTTTGTAATGTGCTTTCCTATTACAAAAGTTAATCGTTACGGAAGCATTTCTTTTTTCAATGCTTGTTTTAATCATCTCCCGAGAGGATAGGCCGCATGGCTACTCCGCAATCTTTCATTATTCAAAAAGCTTTACATTAGTAACTTTCCACTCGCATTTCGGAGGCAATGTTTAAATTTTGGCATAGACATGCACAAGTATAACGAGTTTAATTGCTGATTCAGTAAAATGCTTGAACTTTATTGGTCGATTGTGCATTTATGGGTTATAAATTTAGCAAATAGTTAAGCAGGCTCTACTGAATAAGTCCCGTAAACCTAAAATTCAGCCCCTTTTTCAAAATATTTCAGCTTACATTTTTTAGAAATGTTTAACAAAATCTTTTTAAATAAACACTTGCTCCTAGGACAATTGTTGAAGTAGAATCAACTGATCATTTGTAGATAACCATGAAGTCGATTTCTGATTGGCCAGTTACCTTCAGAGATCAATTTGCAATTAATTTGTAATTTGTTTTAGCTGAACCCTAGTAACTAACTCTATGGCCTAACTACTTGTCAATTTCTGTCAAAACTGGGCCCGTATTGATTGTTATGCAATGGGATGAGCGTGTACTCATTCCAAAGTTTCGGTGCTAGGAGTGTCAATGTGTCAAATCAAATTTTTGTTTTACATCCAGTGGTCAATTCTTTGCTTCTCTTGGTAGTCCTGCTCTTCTGTGCCGAATGTTGGTGAGAGCAGGTGATTCCAGTTAACTCTCATCTACCATCAAGTTTTTTCCCCGGTCGCCAGTTGTTGGTGACCTTTCATTAATGAACTAAATACCTACGAAAAATCCCCCCTTTCTTTAAAAAAAAGCATGGAAATCAGAAGAAAAGAAGCATTTTTTCGCCACTGGATACAGCGAAGTAGTAGAAGGCATTGGGCTTTACTGAAAGGTCAGATTCACTTGGAACCAGCAAAAGTCTACCTGCCGGTCGTCTGCGTCGTTTTCCTCCTCGACTTCGTCAGGAAAATTTGCAGAAATATGGGTGAGTTCGTGCTTGATTGATCTGGAGGGATTAATTGGCTCCTAGCCCTTGTTATCTGGTAGTGACGTGGAGATGTTAGGCGTTGCAGGGGATCGTACACTGTCTAACGGACTGTAGGTATCACCCCATCTTCCTCTTTGTTAGTTTGCTTGATTGATCAGCTGAAATATGAGGGTTTGTCGTGGGTCGCTTCGGTGTTTGAAATTTGGTGAATAATAGTGGATGCATAAAGCTGGCATCTTTCTTGTGGTGAACTCTCGCGATGGCACTCTGAGACTGTCTGGCATTTTGGCTGCAAGTCAGAAAATTACGCAATGAATTTCGATTTCTGGAAGTGGGTATATCAGTAGGCGTTTCCCATGATATGTCGGCTCTGAATTCCTCTTTCTTGTGCCCACTTATCCACCCACCCGTCACCCATCTGTCCCGTACTTCATCGCTTATAATGAAAATAACCGTCACTTCCTCTTCCTACCTTCCTCCTCTTTTTCCCTTCCTTCTTCTGAATCATTTAGGACATTTGCATTCGCCTTCTTTTTGCATTACCATATTTCCTAGCAAAAAAAGTGGTCACCAGAGAGAGAAGCACAAGCGCTGACCCTCCTCTCCCATCTCCGTCTAGGTGGCTGTTGCCTCATGCATACAATGCAATGGGTAGGTCGATCCACCCATCCGTGCCAAACTATGCATTCTTGAAGTTTTGGCAAAACCTAAAAGAGGGCTTTATCGTAATATCACAGGGCATCGCTTTTCCCTCTCCTTCAGCTAGTCTGCCTCTCATTGCTGTTCAGACTCTGGCAGACAGCCATGACTTGATATTAAAATAACAGCGAGGTGAACTTTTCAATGTGACGCAGTCACTCATCAAATCGCGAAATTGCCAAATAAAGTCTTCGCAGACATTTAAAGTCTGGATAAATTAAAAAGGGGAATTGATAACACAAGCACGTAGTTCTTCATGTAAAATTTTTCTCAGCCATTTTCAGCATAAAGCAAAAACAGCCTATTTCCCAGGGAAGTGGCAAATCACTGGGACTTTTTCACCATTAACGCTGTCCAATTTATTAATTTGACTTTTAAGTGGTAAAGCAAATTTTTCTTTTTAAAGTGATGTTTTATTAAACAAAATGCGCCAAGTGGATGAATTTCATTGGTCCGATGGCATTTTTAATACGCACTTTGCTTTATCACAATAAAATCACTCAAATGTCTGTTTAATCGCTTTTTAATGGGCAAATTTTTCATATGTCTCTTCCTGCTTTGGGTTTTATTTACTCTTAGAATGACTATTTATTCAAATAAATTTGGATTTATAGAAGAATAAGCAAGAAGCGAACCTCATGAAGGGACCTTAAAAATGCGAACGCAGAATGGGGTGAATTGCAACAATTTAAGACATCCTCAACTTGCAATAAGGCAACAGAAACCGAACAAACACCACCCTAATAATTGCGTTCATTTTGCGGTGGACAGAACTCTTCCGCGCGAGTAAAAACCCCTTCGGGCAAAATAAAGCAGATAGGGAAGAAATTTAATAAACTCAGCCTGACTGCCACCGGTATCTGATAAATTTGACGTTTGGTGCATTTACAAGTGCATAGGGCGTGATGTCAGTGAAGTGCAGGAGTAGACACACATGGACCTCCTCGCTGCGTCTGGCTGACGTCTTCTTCCAAGGCACCCTCCAATAGCATTCTGCCAAGGCCAAAGCCTCATTGTTTTATGGAGGAATTTGGGGGGTCTTTATGGTTACTTAAAGGGCATCAGCAGAAAAATTCGCATTAGGCAATAATTTGGCGATTAGGTTAGGCAAAATGCACATTCCTGACTATAAGTGGTGTTTTTTTTTACGGAATTATTATATTGCTCCATAGTGCTTGATAATGTTGTAAGTTACCTCACAAAACAAGTGAATGAAGTGTGTGCTCTTCGCTACCCACCCATCCTGTGGGGCAGATAACTCTGTCTAGACAGCGCAACTGCCTCATGTTATGCACAGAGCACAGAAAATGTGAGAGTTATGGAACCCAAATACAGCTCGCCCACCAATAGGCATTACTCCCCGTTCACCTCTCAGGCACTGACGTGGGAATGGGGAAAAGTGTAATGTCATTCTGTTCCATAATTAGAAGCCACTTTGTCAGTAAAATGTTGCATAAACAAATACTTCTAATTACCTTTCTCACTGCAAAAAAATTTGACTTATTTTAAATTTGATTCACTTGTTTTAGTTGGCCGAAGGACCTTGATGACGCTAAAGATGAACCCCTATTTAAAAGACAAGAGTTGGATATTTCCCGAGTAAAATAGTAAGTGGGGCACTGGGGACGTGTCGAAGGCTGTTTACCTTCCCCCATGTTTCTTGTGGTTAGACTCTCTGGCTCCCATCATGACGGAAAAACCACGAACTGTTCTTTCCCTTTCTTTTTAAAAGAAAATTGGACTAGATATCACACATCTCGGATTGGGTGCAGACATTTATCTCATTTGTCAACGGTAAGATCCTCATGATCCACCGAACACGGCCAATTAGACCCACAGGGGGACATTTTATCAAGGTAGAATTGTGACTTGTAGAGCCTGAAGAACCAGGACTGCCAAGCACCTTTTAACTGATCAGTCTTGTTCTAACCCCAGCGAAAGAGAGCCGGGGGATAGTACACTGAACATGGGCCGAATGTCGGATACTACTTTCACCCGTCAGTAGTAAGTCGCAAGTTTGAGGCGTTTCCCCAAATAATAATGCAGAATTAGGTTGAGAATCCCCCTCCCCCCCCCCCCCCCCAAGTACGCATATTCTACATTGGGCGGAGGACGACTTCACTCTGCCACGGCTAGGCTGTTCTTCGCTTAGATCACCTACCGCTGCTCAAATTGTGAGTTTACTACAGATGTAAGTGATGAATAGATGGACGAATCGAATGGATGGAAGATGGAGGACTGGCTAGATGGATCTAGGAGAAATCAGTCTAAAGAGGACGGAGGGCTGACCGAGTTACTGCCTTTAAAAAGCATCAAAGCGCACGAGGCGACGTCACCAATGATTGACGTCCGTAAGTACTGACAGACGGTTGGCGACATGCCAAGTGCATCAGCGATTGGAAGACGTCAAGCCTGCCACAGGGAAAGCCCTTGTTCCGGAGATTAGAGTGAAAATTCGGAAAGGTGGCGAAATGGGCAACTGCACTGAAGGATTCGTCGGCATACCCCAAATTAATGGACGTGTACAGAGGGCCACAGACACAGGTGGGCATAGTCAAATACGGAAGAGCGAACCCAGTAATGGTGAATGCAGAATGGACGGACCAAGTAAAAATGAATCATGAATCAGTGGCGATATAGCTGGTTGTTTTTTGGGCTACCTATCAACACGTCAAAATGTCACCAGTTTATAGACGAGAAAAAAGCACAGATCCTCCCACTTAACTACCCAAACAGTGAGCAAATTTGACAGAGAACAGGTAGCGAGATTATTACAAGATTAAAAAACATGTCTCTTCACCTTGTTTCAGTCTAGTTCTTCTCTTCCTCCACCTCCTCCTCATCCTCTGAATCAATTTTTGTGAGACGAGCGACTGCAGGGGTTCGGTGTGACTTCTTTGAGCCCTTCAAAGATCCAGACGATGAAGAGGTTGACTTGGGATCTGGCATCTTCTCACCAAAAGCCTCTAATTCCTCGTGGATGGACATCACGTTGTCAGCCAGGTCGTTGGACCAGTCATCGAAGTGTAGGCGATTTGCGTCTCCACTCCCGTCATCCTAACCAAAGAACGAACAGAAAGAAGCCGATTAGTAATCGAGGAACCACTGACAAGACGATCAAGGGATTGGTCTAATAGGTGTGGATACAACTACTGTTGAGTACAATTTCAACAATCGGGATTCATCACGCAAGTTCCCACATTCCAGCCAGCCCTCCTTCTACAAAGCCTTCATAACAAGCCCTCGTGTTTTAACTCATCGACCAAGCGTACCAGCCAGTAGGAAGAGGGGGTGATATCTCTAGCAGCTTCGTTACCCAGCTACCATGGCTGGCAGACCGTTTTTAAAGCCTCTTACCCCCACATCACAGTTTACCATAAATAGGGGGCCAATCTATCACTCTCGCCTAACTGGACACAGATTTGCCCACATTTCTGTGAATTCCCCTACCAAGTCGAGGTTGGAGGCTAAGATGAAGAAGTAGACAAAAGCAGTTGGACGTCTTGCCCACTCCTGGTGAATCTGACCTTTTAGTAAAACTAAAATATCTTCTCCCCACTGCCTATTTTCGTCATCGGGGAATGCTCCCCTCCCTAAATACTTTTTTTCGAAAAGGGCAGAAATTTTACAGACAAATCATTCATCAATGAAAAGGAGTTGCAAACACCGTCCACTGCCAGTATTGGGTAGATCTGTGTTAAAGTGTTTCAGTGCTTATCACAACAAATTGGTAGCTTTTGACCATTTAAATGCCAACAAGCAAACGTCACAAATATGTGACGCACGTTTCCTCACCAGCTTCGTACTACCGTCGATACTTTAACCACTGCACCACTTGGCAAGAAGGATATGCGACTTTAGAACAGGTTTAAACTTGGTTCAGAGTCCGATGTCTGTGTCCCTACTACTTCCTGACCATGAAAAATTGCGTACTGACGATTCAAATCGGATCAAAAAATGCTTCTTCAATACTGCAGATTATACAAGATTAAAGCCCCACGCATGTGTCCGGATGATTTATGCAAAGAGAATCCAGGAGTGATGTGTAAGTAGCCACCTGAATAACTGCGTAAAATGGAGGGAGAGCGCATTAACGGTAATGTGATGCTCCTGCTGTTGCTGCCCTGAGAGACGAAACTCCCAATGGATGATGGGCAGCTGAACAGATAAACGATCAAAAACCTAGGCTTAATAGCTTCCCAACAAAAGCATTTGAAGAAGATAAAAATTTCGGCCCTATTTCGCTATTTTAGGCCTACCACAGAGATATTTAAAGGGAGTTCCTCATAAACAGCAGCACACACTTTTGCAACACAGCCATTACACCAACGACATCGCCATGAAAAAGCTTGTCAGCACAAGTGAACCATCCCACTTCGTCACCGATGCGGAAGTTGCCAACAATCCCACCCCGGTTTTAAAACGATCTTCCTCCTGCACAGCATTTCAGTTCACCACACAAAGGCATCCTCTGGACTCACCGCAAACAGCCGACCGTGTTTCCTCAACTCAGTGGCCCTCTTGAGAAATGCCGATCTAACGTGTTCATATTCATCGCGTTTCTGCGCACACAGTGCTTGCTTCCAGTCCGTAATAGACTTTTCCACCATTGCGGAACTCGATTTCTTAGTCTTTAAGGCTTCCACTGCCCGTTTCCCGATTGAAATTGCCTCTGAGTAATGCTTCAGTTGTGCCTGGGCCTACAAGAGACAAATCCTACACTAGTCTAACCGATCGTTTCATAATTTCTTCAAAGACAACTTGGGCACGAAAATATCACATTTAGAAGCCACCTCATTACCTGAGCCATTCTGTAAAGAGCTTTCGCATTGTCTGCATCGATTCCAAGAGCCTTTTCGCACATGGCAATGCAATGTCGCATCAGCGTCTCATCGCTGATGGGCTGATGGTCCGACCTCGAGGTAACCCGCTCTGGTTGAGCGACGATTTTTAGAAGGCAGAGAGCTGCATTGGTAAGGAGATTTACATAGAGTTGTTGAGCTTCCTGATCTGCTTGATGATGAGAGGCGTGCGTTGCTGGTTTTACGCTGACGCTGCCCTCGAGACACTGAATTCCACGCTTGTAGGCACGAAGAGCGCGAGCGAGATTGTTAGCCTACTTAAACGATTATAAGTAGATAGTGTGCTGCCTTAACCATATAAGATATAAGAAACACAAAGCCATCAACTAGAGTGACTCCCAGATTGTATTACCAGAAAAATACTAAATCCTTCGCGTTCTGAGTAAGAAAGAGCTCCAGACTTTAGAAAAATTCTGGCCGTGAGGGATTAGATACAAAAAGATCGGGACACCGCCACCTTTAACACAAGTTACTGGAATAGATACGACGGGTCCAAACGGGGAAAAAAAATTCGGTTTAGCGTATAACAGGCAATGCTCCCATGGAACATGTATAATTCGGGGGGTGATTGAGCAGATGGGTTTTTCAACAAGTAACATCCTAGATCTCATGATTTGAACTACAATAACAGCTCTGATCGAAGGGTTACTAAAAAAAGTGCTGCTAAAAAGTTGTCAACAAAAACAAACTACACGTGATCCTTAGTGAAGCCGCACATAGTCTATGCTCCCTATAATACAGCGCAGACAGAATTCCGCAATTGTATTCAAGTGATTATGAGACTAGGATTTGTTAATAATTAAATACTATTTAAACAGCAAAAAAAAAGGAAAATGTGAACAAGATAGGACCTGGTTTACCAAATGTATGACAAAAATCAAAAATATCACAAACTAGGTTCGCAAAGTGAACCTGGAGAAATCCGTTGCCCTGAGTTTTGCACATAGAAGCGAGGGAAATCTTCTCACTCTCTCCCATGTTCCATACTTCTTTCAACTAGGACCGTAAGCGATTAGAGAATGTCGAATTACCTTCTTTAATTTAACCAAATTCACATTAAGAGATGCCATTTCACCACCACACCCATCCACATTAAAAAAATGCTTGTCCTCCTCGCTCAGTGAACTTATATCCACAATAGTGACTTTTGAAGAATTAAGTGACAAATTATCGACGGCATCGTCTATGATTTTTGGGATGCCTGAAGCACATCCACAACCAACAGGAAACGTCAGCGTTCCCTCATAGATGCAAGATGATTCTACGATTAAAGAGCATAAAACGGTAGCAATATCAAGTTCCTCAGCTACTTTACAGCTTTCATTACGCATAACGGGGAGCAAAACCAACTACAGCCCCGAGTATTTGAAATGCACCCATGTAACCTTGATGCGACTGTCAATATTTAGGATGAGAACAAATATGTTCTAGCATCATTCGTCAGCAATAAGCACACTTTTGTACAAATTTTTTATCGCAGAAAAAAGTTTAAGATACATTAAAATGTAGGTGCATTTGCACATTCTATAAAACATAAAAAGAAGACAATCAAGACCATACAATTTTGTTAATACATACTCACATACAGCCGCATAAGCAGCACTATGTCAAAATTTATAAGTAGGTCAAAACAAACCAATTTTGCCTTCACGTGACATGATAAAAACACTCTGTTACCACCATCCAGATTATTCAAAGCGTCACGCTGCAGATACATTACTTTTCTTTAATTGCACCTTTTTCGAAAGAAAGTCGGCAGTCAAGCCCAACTTGGTGATTAAGGAGGTCTCAGCATCTCTCAAAACCAGGAAAATGTGTAGTTCCGTCTGATTGGTTGGTGTAGACCATGACCTAACCTGCTTTGTACGGTCTATAGTGGCAGAAATCACATCTGACGAGACTGTTTCCCATGATTTTTACGAAATCTTTTTCAGTGTTAGGTTAAACCCTGCGTTTTGAAGATGAGGCAACACTGGTTTCGGGTTAATATCTGCTCTCGTACATCTTTACGAAAAATGAGGGAAGGAGTATTCAATATTTTAAAATTAGGCTCTTTTGTGCTGCTACCATCAGGCGTTGGAAGTTGGCCGATGCGTTACAGATATCTAAAAATATCGTTTAGATTTTATAAAGCCTGTTTAGCGATAAAAGGTAGTCTTCACTTTTACCTTCTAATATTCTGATTTAAAACCCAACGTGGAGAACCATTTTAACTCGTGCAAGGATTCTAGTGACGAGTAATGTGAGGTGAGGGAAATGCGTTTAATTTAGCTGCGTTATTTAAATCCCTAACTCCCTGCATAACTGCAGGTTGCGGTTGCTCTTACTTACCAGCGAAAAAGAAAGCGCTTGAAGTGGCCTTATACCCCCAACTAGACAGTTTGCATCTCATAGAGCCGGTATCAATCCCAAGTTTAACGATGACTGTTCGTCTCATTTTAGTGCCCTGTCATGAAAGACATTAAGTTCTCTCCAACAATTTGGCTCTTTCGACTCAGCAGTTCTTTTCTAAAATGGTATATTTAAGTAGCAATTTTTGCATGGAAATACAAGAGTGAATCGCAAGAAGTGATGAATTGCATATATTGTGCACTAAAATTTGCATCTTATTTAGTTTTCAAATAGTGAGAAAAACTGTGGTGATCAAAAAAACTGCTTCATAAAAACAACCAAATATATCCAATTGCTCTTGCTCGTATTCCAAGAGAAAGTATTTAATTTTTTTTGAGCCTGCTAGTGAGCTACAACCTTAAAAGAAACTGATTGTAAAGACTTACAAAGGCAAATATATTACTCACATGAAAAAGTTTTGCTAATGAATAATTAATGCAGCAATTCATGCACTTTTATACTTCTAATCTTAGTAACCTATTACCCTTAAAGTGCTAGTTAAAGCTATATTATTTTGACTTTTCATGCTTAGCAAGTGGCTGTCCTTACGAATGCTTAATTCGTTTTAACCCACCATTTCTGTACATTTGGCTTGTTGAGCACTTACGAATATGTTCGGTGATTGCGTTATGATGTCGCCAACATCTTTATTCTACTCTGTATCCTTCAAATAGTTTTTGCTTCAATTTTTCAACGCTAAAAATATACAACATGTTTTACCTTGAATTTTTTTGCATGTAGATATTAAAAATGAAAGCAATATTAAGTGCTCTGCCGTTATGTAATTGCTCTTTTACTGTGAAGCAGGTTATAATTTTAGTCATTTTTTAATTTTAAACCCTCTTTGATGCCTTTTTTAAGCTCTTTGGCTAGCCCACAAACATTCTAAATATTCAATCGTGGCACCTTAAATAACTTTTAACTGGTCGTTAATGCTGCTCTGGATCCCGTACATAACTAAGCTTTTTTTGCATTTTTTTGCGTAACCAATATTAAGCTTGGGTTTAAAATTTAGAAGTTTATTTGCGTCAACCTCTCCCGCTCATTTCTGCAAGCCACGAATAATGTTGCCCTGCTTTTTTCCCTTTTCACTTAAAAATATTTTCTCTTCCTGGCGATTTTATGCGTCACTTCTTGCTCATTTTTGGAATCAGAATCTCTGATGAATGCGACTCTCTGTCACGCCTTCTGCCTCTTGCACCTTTATTCATCTATGGTTTCCATTTAATCCCTTTTTAATTTATCATTGACGTTTCGATTCTAACATGCACTTCTTTTAATTCACTTATTTTTTCTAGTTGGTGAGGAAGTATGGAAATCGGCAAATCGCCGACTGAATATGGCAGCAGACCTGGTGAGCTATTTATGCTCTCTTTGTCTCCTTTATTTGCGTCAGCAAAATGTAAAAATTCCTACAATTTTGTAAACTTGACATAACACGCGCACTCGTCGTCATATCGATTGGCTATTGGCCAATTCGCCCCCTCCTGTGATTGGTCTGCTCTGTGTGCGCCTTATACCTTATCCACCCAATCACAGGCCTAGCTTTAAAATAACCCTCATATGCGACCTTGTGCTGTCTGAAACAATCACAGGCCCCCTTCCCTTCTTGTCTACCATTGTGTGTGAAAAGTGACTGTTTCATTCACTTGCAGTTACCAGAGGAATAACTTACCGTTTGGCGGATTCTCCGCTTTACACTTCAACACTGGAGACCTACGAAGTGACCTCCCCTACACTATCATCGCCAATGATGGAGAATACTCGCCTACAACACCTTCATAGCTCATCCCTATCAGCAGCAGCTTCGGCAACATCAAAATCAACGTCAATTAAGACATCAAAGACTGTTGCAACCTCTTCCATGACTGTGGAAGGCATGAAAACCTTGTCCGTGAGATCTGCCTCCGCAAGCACCACAAAGAGCAGTTTTTTGGAGAGCAGCAGCACTAGCAGAATGATAGAAGATTCGTCAAAGTTGGTGGCAAATATCACAGAGATGCGAAACCTGTTTCAGCAGAGCAATGTCTCCGAATCGGTGCTGGAGCAAATTGAGCATCACTGTCAGGCAAGAGATGCGTTGCTGAAGAATATAATATCATTTCGAGGGAAATCTGATAATTCTAGAAGCCAAATATGTATTTTAAATATCTGAGAGGTTTCTCAGAAAACATGCTTGAGGTAAACGATGAAATTGGCAATGTTTTACTTAATTAGAGGGCATTGGGAAAACCGAGTGTTAGTTTCCTATTGGCTACTAGACTTCCAGTATGTTTTTTCGACTGTCTGGCTGCAACATTATCCGTTTCACTTGTTTACCGTTTCCCTGAACATAACCTAGGGAGTTTTCTAACTTCCCCAAATAATATGACCTTCGTTATGCAATTTTCCAAATACCAGACTAAATAATAAAAGTGTCTTACGCTTTGTAAATATTTGCGGCCTGGTACCGAAAAGCATTTTTATTTACATGAAGTCTGTCCCAAGCCCAGCAGCAGCAAACTAATATTAACGTGGGTGGCCGGGATGGCTCCCGACAATTGTCTAGGCAAATGTCCAAAAAAATATGTGTGACTGCAATTTGACCAACAAAAACAAAATCCGTTATTTTTACACCGTGCTGATTGGTTGATCCTTCTCTCAGCATACTGGTAGCTTGCCAACCAATTATAGTCAAAGATTTTAACTTTGAAATGATTGGTTAATCGCGTTTGAATAAAGTAAAACTTTAAAATATAGATAAGCTCTCAGTTTTTACCCAAATTTTCTTTTATTATAATTATTTCAGTGGTTAGTCCATTTTAAAGGATAAAAATGGCCTAAAGGGGAGAAGTAGTGTCGATAAACCCACCTGCGGCAGGTATCACTTTCAAAGTGACTGCAAGCACCCATTTTTTCGACTTGGTTTAATATATAGGGCATGGGTTAATATATATTCGTGCAAGCAAACTATCTATTTTTGGTCCCATCCTATTTTGGCCCACTTTGATTGCTCAATAATGTATTTTGTTTCCCAAGCGATCGGCCATTGCCAAGGCAAGCTGATAGTCAGCTTTGGGGGCGGGGTAAGTATCGACGATGAGAGGGTAGGTCTCTCTCTCTTGTTTTCATTCTGATGTGCAATGCGAATTCTTCCCACAGGCCACTTTTACGGAATGAAGTGAAAGCTACTGCACCATGGCGGTTTGTTTGGGTGGACCCTTTCTTCAGGTAGATCAACTATTCCTGATCGTTCCTCACGACCGACTAAAAAACTATGTATTATAGTTAGGAAAGAAACACGAGTGACACGTTTGCTCTAGTTAAAACGTAAAAGATGGAAAAAAAGCAGTGAGGGCAGGCAAAAGTAGTTAGAAAGTGAAGCAGCGCCACGTCTTCTTCCCATAAACGAATGGTATGTGACCAAGCACAAGCAAGATATCGTCAAAATCTCGCAGACTGAAAGGGGGGAAAGTTCCTAAGACAACCTCTTTGCAATTTGCTTCGTAACCTATAGAATTACGTCCATCTCATTAAAAGAGCTGAAAGCGCATACGGTTTAATTTCTCCTTTCGTACCAGAGTTTGGAGACCTTTCTACCACCGTCTTCGAGGCAGGTGGAACCGCTTTTCACGCAAAGGAAGGGCTCATCAGCGCATTTAACAACAAATGAGATTGGATTTCGCTTCAAACAGGTCAAAAAACGGACAAATCTCACTTGCCTTCGACTTCTCAGACAGGTACGTGTGCTCATTGTAAGCCTAGACCAATAGGATGATAGGTAGTGAACCAATAAGAAGCAACCGGTTCGTCCGAATTTGATTGGTTCAATTGATTGATACGTTTACCCGTTTTTGTCCTTGAAAAAATAGTTGAGAAAGGTTCATTTGTCAACAAAACATTCCTAATGCTACCTTTGAGAAAGCCATTTTTATGAAAATCCTGTTCATATTGATGGAGGACAATAAGCTAACGAGCAAGATGTATGGGAATAAAGGTTTTGTCGTGCTTACATATTTACTTAAAACCGAGTCGTCGTATCAAGAACCTAATGCAGATTTCGATGTACGAACCCATCGAAATCATCTCTAGCCTCCTTGGGCTTTGGAAAGCCTTCTGATTCAGGAGGTAGAGATAAAATTATGTTTCAAATGATTCTGCTCGTCCCAGCACCGGCACCTGAGGAAACACGTCCCACCTCTTCTGTGATCCAGGGGACCTCACAACCACCACTTAGCATCTGGAGACACTGATTTTATTGCCCATGGTGTAAAAATGATGAGGAGGCTAGGCATGACCCCCACTTTTTAGGTCAAAGTACCTTAGCAAACAACTGTCCTTTTTTAACTAAATAAATAATGTCGAGTTGCAAATTCATGCGCTTGACCACAGATCCCGGCCAATTCTTAACCAAGAAAATCAAATAGAAAAGAAACCAGCGTGCCAGGGTTTGGCTTAGGGGACGGGGAAACACGAGATTGGCGTTTTGGACCACGGGTGGGCTGTTGGAGATACTGGGTGACCCCATTCATGCAGACTCATATTTCGTGCGTTGACCTGGGTCACTAGCACATTTAAAGTCTCTTTGTTCGTGCTACTAAACTTTGAGGGAAATTGGGGGTGAGCGCGAGATTCGCGACCCTTATAATATTCGAGAAACGGCCGGAAGATTGAAATAATGAGTGCTTCCCATGGTGGAAGACACTCTCACCACGCCGTTGTAATGGTGACGCACAGATGGTTTGAAAGGCCACAAAGTCATACCCAAAGATGGAGGTACAGAATGTGGAGATTAAAAATAACGAAAGTCCGGCCAAAATTTTTGGACAGCAAACACTACTAATAGAAAACACCCGTGAGATATCAGTAGCTTGGACAGTGGTCCGAAAAAGCCGGCAGCCCGGTGGGTCATTCGCCACACCGGAAAAGGGACATATCGTGTGCCCAGGTCATGGTATAAATGCCTTCACTCCTGGCAAAACGACATGCTTGCCTTTGAGGTCACCTACAAATTTGCGTGGACGAAACTACATTAGATCCATAAATCGCGCAGGCTGTGATGCCTGTGCAATTGCAATGGAAGCATTTTTGTATTTACTTCATCAAGTTTGCTAAGTCAAATCCTGCCCTTAAATTCCTCCGCAAAAATTACCAAATGATGCCTCACCTACCACGCATTCTTCAAGGTTAGTTTTTGTCCGAGCCTGTCCAAGATGTATAACACCGGAGGACCTCATTTGACCCGTTTTCATCCACATGTCCCCTTCTTCCCCCACCAACGCCCAGCTTGTCAATGAAGTGGGTCTCGACGCCGCACTAAGCGGTTCCGTTGGTGTGCCCATTCTCGAGGCCTTCTGTTCCTGTTCCATTCCCGACTCCTCGCCACCATTATCCTCCACTGCTGGCACTGGACTCACGGAAACCACGATGGTGTTCAAAAATGAATTACCTCCTGGTGAAAAAATGCGTCAGGCTGTCAGACTCCTGATGGCCAAGGGGAGGGATGCAACGATGGATCGAGAGTTGAACAGCGAGTTCGTCGCTCTCATTGAAGGTAAGTCCAAATCCGCGCATTCACTTCCATATTTGACAATTTTTAAAAGCGTATTGTTTTTTTCCTAAAAAAATGCTCTAGCCAAGTAGACAACAGAAAGATAAAACACTACTGCATCCAGTTAACACCTCCCAGGACAATTTGGCAAACGAACACAGTGTTGGATAGTGAGGTGGGACAAAAGACCCACCCTTAAAACCGCATTAACCATAGAACAAACGGAGAGATAAAGGAGAGAGATGGCAGAATGAACAGATGGATGGATGGATGAGGGGATGGGTAGATGAATGTTTGGATAGGTGGGTGGAGGGATGGATGACTAGATAGATAGATGGACGTTAGAGTAGGTGGACAGGTGGTTGGATGGATGGGCGTATAGGTAGATAGATGGATGGATGGATAGGAGATAAATGAATTGAGGTTAAGGGCTTCGAATTCACGCCACCTAGTCCTATCCACGCATTGTTTACAGGTTTTAACAGCAAACAACCCAACCCCACACCACTTTTCCCCTCCCGGGATGGGAAATGCCTTCCTGTTCTCTTTTTATTTCCAACGCTTGGTAAGCAAACCATCATGCTATTTGGCACCCGCAAGAGATCCACTTACCACCTACAACACACTTTGCGGACAGGCAGACATCACTTCCTACCAGAGAACACTCCGTTCGCCGAATGTGTGTGATGTGATGTGGTGTGGTTAGGATTCCAGAAGCATTTGTGCCTTTCCTGAAGGTCAATCATCACTCACTGTTGACACCGATCTACTCCACAGTAGACGGTGCAAGAGGTCTCCTTCTGCCTGCGAATCCGTCAGGTCGGATGAATTAGTTGGAAGAAGGTGACCTTCTTGGAATGCCAGCACAACACCATTTGTTCCACCCCATTCCGTAAATCTGGTCCAAAAGGACTCCTTGCCGATACCACCTCATCCTTTGTGTCTCTCACGAAATTTCCGAAGCTCTACGTGATGATTTTTCGTAACTATCTCCAGGGAAATGCAGTTCACGTTGCTCTATCGCGTGCCAGGAAGTCGGTCAGGTGGCGAAGCTGTCAATCCCTATACAGTCAAATAATTTACGACCGGTTATTCCCTGTAACTTACGCGTAAAGCCTGTCAAGACTGTCAAAAAGAAGGACGCGTACAAATCCATCGAGGATCCCTCCTGCCTCCTCAATCGTGACTGCGGCTGCAACCGACTGGAACGTCCGGAGTTGCCTGCAATGCTGAGAGTGAGAAATCCACCATCTCACAGTGAGAATTTGCGCTCCTTAGACACCCAACCGCAGTCAACGATATCACTTCTCGACACCTTAGTTGGCCTTGCCATTTTTCACCTTAGAACAGTCAAATTAACTGTGAGGACACGGGAACCGCCGGAACCGTCAAAAGAAGCAATCGCATGTCAGGGTTATTAAGAAATTCCCTCACATCTTGCCAACAATCATAAATCACCTGCTTTTTTTGTGGGATCATAGTTCTATGTGAAAGTCTTTTTTCTCACCATTCCAAACTCCGAATTGATTGGTACATTGTCATGACACTGGATTTATCCTAGTTTTGGGACAAGCGAATTGCGCTGCCCAAAAAAAGCATCACTTAAATCCCGCATACTTTTAAAGATCTTAGAATCACAAAATCTGTTCAAATTCCCCCCTCCCAGAAAAAAATTACGAAAAATTTTAGCCCTAGAGACAAATTTTTCTTCAATCTATTCTAGCCAATCAACGATGGGAAATTTTAATCGATTTTCTTCGCCGTTCTATTCCAACCAATCAAATTCTGAGATGCGCTTTTCAATGTCTTTCCATTAAAAACTGCTTCTCTTACATCGATTCTACCTATGGAGGGTTGTACCGGAAACACCTTTCCAGTTCTGAAAAACAAATTATCTACAGGGAATATTCAGGCCAAAACGGGACTTGATTGGCGAAATCCCGGTTAGACCCGAAGAACCCACACAACTTCACAACTGATCCAAATTATTTTGTGTCCCAGAACTGACCAATTACAACGAGAACACATGTCAGGACGTGATTGAAGAAGGCGGTTTGGATTGCGTCTTCCGTGCCTGTCGATCAGAGGACACTGAAGCGGTGAAACATGCCCTTCTGTCGATGGTGAATTTGTTGCATCGAGTTGGCAGAGATCATCAATACGAAATGGTGCGCCAAAATACCTTTGCTTGGCTTCTTCTCCTTGCTCTCCAATCCAATGAAGAGATTCAATACTACGTCTTCCTCATTGTCACAATCCTCTCCAATAATCGGTGAGTCTTGGGATTCCACGCGAAGAATTAAAAACCTTCGCCTCCTCCTTCATTATCCACGTTGCACAGCTATCATGCATGAATGTCTTATTGTTGTTGACATGTTTGACCAGCACTGGAGCTCTTCGAACATCCGACGTGATACTAGCTATGACGACAAAAAATGGGGAAATGAAACGCACCCCTGTTCTTCTTTGCGGTGTCGTCGTCGTCAGCGCTCCGCATTGTCGCCCTTCAGCTTCAACTGTAGCGAGTCCTGGTGCGACTTTCAACCAACCTCTAAACAGGATGTAAGAGGGATAACGCCGTCTGTCAGTGGTGGTACACACCCTTGACGGGGATCCTGAGCATTCCGTCATCCGTAAAGCGAACTGTATTGGATAAAGGTCCATTTAAGAAAGGGAGAGAAACAGGTGGTGAAGACTTACTTTTCTCTGGCGATTGTTAAGCTTAAACAGCTAGAAGGATGACTCACTTCAGCTGCTCATTAATTGGTTGGTCTTCTAACCACCTCGTCCATTGGTCGCTTCATTATTTATTTAAAACCTCCAATCACGACTCAGTTTTTGTTTTTTTTAGGGAATTAGATGGAGTTCTGGATCGATCCTTGTTGATGAGTCTCATGATCCCCTTCGTAAAGCGCCATGATGTACGCGATTTTGCTCGTCGACATTTCACCGATCAGACCACCATCTTCTCGGGCGATTGGCTCCTCTTCCTTCTACCTGCGCTGACGTCAGAAACTTATGTGGAAGTTGAAGCATTTGCAGCTTTCCATTTCGCCATTGCAGCACACTTAAAGCCCGATATCCTCCTTGAACTGGGTCCAGGGAGTGTAAGAACTTGTGCTTGCCTACTTATTTCAATTTAAGTAAGCTATGTCCCGTGAGTTATCTTACAGCCTTTGCTTTTGTCCCAAAAAGGCCCGCGTTGAGTCGGCGCTGGTGAAGATTTCCGGCTTAAAACGAGATCCAGCCTGGAAGTTGGCAGCTCTGGCATTGGATAGCATGGGCTCGAAAGTACCCAAGGCACTATCTCTCCAGGTGTTCCATTGGCCGGTGGAAGATGTTGTCTGCTGGATGAACAGGGTAAGTTGACATCACATTGGTCTTGAACGCGTATTTCTAGGAGGGGTTCGAGGCGGTGGCAGAGAAATGCAAAACTCTTAAAATTGATGGGGACATTTTACTTAGCCTGACCGAAAAGGAGTTGGAGGAAGGACTGGGGATTACTAACTGCATTGCTAGACGCAGGTTAGTTTATTTTTTTTAATCTAATACACTATTCGAATAAATCTTTCTTCTCTACCAGTCAAAATGCGCCTTTAAATATATAGTAGGAATTAAATCCACCAATCACTGAGAAGTTAAAATGTCTATGCGATCCACGATCAATTTTGACAGGTCATCTACAAAATTTGCATCCTTATGTCACCAGATTTATGCGACAACTATGTCACCTCAAATCCATGGTCAATTATTCCCTTATTGATCCAACTGGAGTGGCCGATTTCCTGGCAGAGGCCTCAAAAGATGTTCGTGACTCCAACAGCAGGACAGCTGAGACAGTGAGCGTGGATAAAGACAGATTATCTCGATCGACGTCTTCTACAACCACCGCCCTGGCTATAGCATCAACCATCCCTACCGCCCTACTCACGCAGTACACATACACCCTCCTGTGTCATGGAGTGACACGTCAACGATTGCTGGAAGTGACCGACGAGGAATTGAAGAACACCTTCCACATCTCGGATGCTACTCATCGACGTCAATTACTGAAAGCGGTGAAAAAAGACGGTAGGTTGTGGCGTTTTAGTCCTAGCAAGCCTCTTCATCCATTCTGGATCCACTCATCCACCTCACAAGCTCTTCGTTCTTCATTGTCGGCATCATTTTTCTTGCCTGCCTCATCATCAATCCATCCATGCATCTACCCGATCAGTCCTTCTGAAATCAGTACCTTAAACCACCTTTTTTTGTCATATCTTCTATCCAGCCAGTGGAGGCAGTGCTGCCCACGATGCCTCAGAGAATCACATCGACTTCTTCATATCCTACCGTCGCTCCAACGGCACACATCTGGCTAGTCTGATAAAGACGTTATTACAATTGCGAAATTATCGCGTCTTCTTGGACATTGAACGACTCAAGGGAGGTCGATTCGAAAATAAGTTGATGGATTCTATCAAACACTCCGAGAATTTCATCCTAGTGCTTACGGAGGGCGCATTGGATCGATGCAGTACGGATGGAAGTATTGACTGGGTTCGAAAGGCAAGTGAGATCCCTCCTTAATTCATTTTAACCAACTTTGGAGTGCATGGATGCATGCCTGGTGATAAAATGGAGGGTCAAGTAAGCAATAGGAGGAATGTTGGATCGAATAATGAACGGATGACTGATGGATGGGTGGTACATATCAGACGGATGGATGCCGGATGGATAGATGGACACCGGACAGATGGATAGTGCATGGATGGCCGCCGGATGGATGGATGCTGGGTGAATGGATGAAATGGATTTGGAAGGATGTCTGGGTGGCCGGATGAAACAGTGAGAGATGAAAGCGCGAATCCACGAGAGCCAACTTCATTTGGATACAACCGTGTGCTTTTTTTCCCCTCCTTCAAAAAGGAGATTAACTGTGCGTTGGAAAACAACTGCCACATTATTCCCCTCTCCGATCGATTCGATTGGGGCAACGCCGACACTCTACCCGAGGACATCTGCGCCATCACGAAATTCAACTCCGTCCAGTTAGTTTTTTGTTTACACTTTCTTCCTCTGTAAGGCTCATTTTTATGGTTCCGCATCACCGTTTCAGATGGACTCCAGAGCTGGAGGAGGGTTGCATCGATCGTATCATCGAATTCATGCGACAGAATTCCCAATCGGAGGAGGGAAAGAAATAAGAGGTGCAGTCCATCCCTGCGCAGACTTCTTTGACTATATCTTGGTGATTTGAAAAATACATAGATACGAAACGATTTCGTAGTTTTATCGTCTTATTTGACAATCATCTGAGATTGGGTCTAGGCACGGAGCCAGGGGAAGGAAGGAATTCCTGAGACAGGCAATTTTTACTTCTCAAATAAGCAAGACTGGCGTACTACACCACCGACGTGAGACTAGTAGACATCCCCCGGTGTTCCCAAGTTAATACTTTTGGCGTTGGAAGATGCGCAAAGAATCTCGAGGCAGGATTGGAAATGTTGACAACAAATCCTCGCCATCCCGCTGAGGACCCTTAACACCGTGGTCTCCGAAAGGTAAGCACTTGTTCAAGGAAATGCGAGAAGCCCTTGAAACGTCTATACCATCCGAGCATCTACACTTCCCGCCATCGCACTACACTGTGTTAGAAGACCCGCTCGCTCATCACTACCCGCTGTCCCATCCACGCATCACCACAGCTGCGTGCCTTCTGGGCAACATAAAGACACCCTCCTCACTCACTGGCGTCTATGGTACTGCTGCAGCACCGACTTCAGGGGCGGGTTGGGTCGGGAGGTATGTCTATCATCAGGGGGTTCAACGTCACCGAACTCGTTCACTCTCAAGGTCCCTCTTTTACCCGCCTAAACCTTTCTGTCACTCAAAACCTCATATTTTTTGCGAGTTATATCCCGTGGGATAGGGCGACTCCTTTTGGCCCCTCAATTGTAATATTGGCAGGTGAATGAGTGGACGGGGAGGCGACAGGAGTGCACCTCCTCCACTGACAATCGATGAGGCGGTCTAGACACTGCACCCTGTGTCGCTGACGTGAAGCGAGGGCGTTGGGGCAACCATAGATAAGAATAAGCTTATCAAATTTAGCCTACTTAATTAACACAATGGGAAGGGTATAATAAGGCACAGTGAATAGGTAAGCATGGTCGAGAGATAGGAAAAAAAAGGAAATTCCTTTATTTCAAGAAAGAACGACTCACCCGGACACAATCGTCTCCTCCACGAACGACGCCAAGTGGTAGAGGTGTGAGATCGGAAGAGAGGATGCGCACTGGCATGACCCAAATACTCAAGTCAGTCTGAGGCTCTCAGAGGAGTAGAAGCTGCATTTGCTTCATCGAGTTGGGCCTAAATCAGCCCAGGAAAGGAGTTCATGACGAAGCAGAAGTTCCGCATTATGTCTGAATGTTCACAGGAGTGACTGATGAAGCAGGAATTATTCCTTGACCAGAGCAGATGGTCCGCATATCTTCAAGCGCTTGCGAGGAATAACACAGCTTTCGTTGTGGCTTCGAAAAGGACTTCCATCTGACCAGACCATGGTGGAAGACCAAGAAATGATACATCAAGAAGCTGACAATAGTGGCGGTCTGGCATATCTCTTCCAACCCAAATTCTCATGTGCCACAAGGATTTGGGAATACAAATGGAGAGAGAGAGAGAGAGAGACTTTAATGAGACCGGAACAAGTTGCTGAGAGACTATTTATGAAAGGAAATGACAAATGAACCACGCCGAAGTCTCGGAGGTCCATACATCGATGCAGAGTAGACGGGTTGTCGTTGCCGACACGACCGAGGTTTCACTGAGAGCACCAAGGCCAATGCTTTGGCTACTTAATACATCGTTCTGATCTCGTGGGCACTTAAGGCTCCGCCTTTATACCTCTGCAAAAGTCCCCCAGCCCTTCCGTGCATCGGAAATGTATTTTCAGTCGCTACTGTTGGGCGATAAACCTTAGCGGGGTGGAAAAAGAACACATGCTGCGGATGAGAGAGTCTGTGACGATGCCCATTGGAAGGGCTGAAAATAACGTCCACCTGCGAGAACTGCTTCGGTCCGGTGTTCTGTAGGAAAGCCATTAACAACTGAAGTGACACTAGCTGTGGCTGCGAATTACTTGGGAATGTTTGTTGCGGAGCTGTCTATGGCACCTGCGTGAAGATGGCAATTAGATAAACACGCGATGCCTCGCCCGCCTCTCTACAAGATGGGTAGAACCCAGATAGGTATGGCTGAGTAGCTCTGAAGTAAGAACAATAAAACAGGGACGAACAGACGCAAAAAGATGTTGAACCCCGTCCTTATTTATAGGACTCCATTATTAGGTCAGTGTTCTTATCACAAGCAATGGACATTAATGAGAGCTAGGACATTCCCCTCATCCCCAATTACAGTTTATATCCGGACAAGACTTGAGATTCAATAAAACCGCCAAGAAGGATCAATGAAGCTGAAATTAATTGTACGCGATTTTGATAGCTGCCGCGGCTGGATGGCCGGTGCTTTGAAGACAGCGCCAACTATGTTGTGATGGCCGATGCGGGAGGTTAAACGCGGGGGGTGGCGGGGACGACGCTCGAAAGGGGAAGGGAACTACGCAATACTTTCACCATTTGTTTAGTTCTTCACTCTAATTTTACATTATACTTCCGCTGGGTGCTATGGCTTCCAACCACACCAGTTGCCCACCCCCACCCAGCCTTGCTGAACAACGCCACTACATTTCCTGTCCCAGTGTTGTGACTCCATTTTGCATTCGGGAAAGAGTTGGAGCGCTATAAAGCTGCCCGAGCTCCGGGAACCCGACCTTTACGACGATGGGTTAAGGCTCCACTCATGTCGCTTATGGTACTGGCTTTTCAGTCCCGTACAACTGCAGCTCTGCAGGTCACTAGACCAGCACCGATGAGATACCGTCACCTTGGGTCATAGAGAGGTGGAATGTCATTCTTTCCAAAATAAACCTAATTTGTCTGCTGAAAGTCGACTTTGATTAATTGAACTAAGAAGTAAATGCGTATTGTGAACTTCCGCAATACTACTACATAAAAAACACTATTAATCTTACCACATTTGATCTCAAGTTAAAAACTGTACGATGTTCTACGCTTCATTTAACAATATACAAAAAGTGTAGATGATAGACAAATATTTTCGAGGCACTCCCACTGCTGGATACTAAACATTTTTAAAGGAAAGCCTACATTTACCCTATGCCCACCAAATTAAAGGACCGCGCCGCCTGCCCTAACCATCTGATTGGTAGATTACAAGAGGTGACCCGCCAAAGCGACCGATTTGCAGTGCTGTGATTAGTCAGATAGAAAAAAAAAATTGAACGGGTTCGCCTCCCTTTTTCAAACCACTCGGGATGATGTGTCTAAACAGCACCTCTAACACCAACAACGTTAGAATTGCGGCTTCTCGGGCCTCTCCTAAAATCGTGCTAAAGCATACAAATGCTAAATACCTAAGAAGGACGCCACCAGGACGGAGGCAGAACGCGTGATGGGCCAAAAGTTCAGTACAAAGGGAGACCGCTCCCACCCACAGGAGATGCGGAACCCCGCCATCTATGTCCCATTTCCCCTCCGCCCCGGGAGTAAACGCTACTTACGCAATAGAATGTCGCACAAGCCTTTTGAAACAACTTGAAGACCGTAGACTTCAAGAACACCCCAGCACAAACTTCAGAACACGGACTGGTTGAAATTCGAGAGGACAGACGATGCGAGTAAAAATGAATAAATACGAGAATCTTATGGTTTGATACATAGAGATGATTGGGGGGTGGAGAAGAGTTTAATCAGTTCCATGTTACTTGACCTTGTAGTCGAAACTTCTTGAAATGTGCCAACGGGACTGGTTCAGCTGAAGTGAAAAGGAAAGATGTAGTGAGAATGACGCCGACACCAACACATCATACTTGACCCCGACCACCACATAGCGCTTAAACAACTTGAACTAATTCACAGCTAGTCTATACTGATGCGGACCTAGCGTCACACATTTGTGACGCCGGAGTGAGACGTGTCGATCGGTACCTGTCAAGTAAATGGAAGACGTCGGGCAGCTAATAGCCGACACTAAATTCCCTTCGTTGAGTTGAAAGCACTCCGGTGCCTAAATCTTTAAAAAAGCCACTTCCTCTTTGAAGATTTACTAACCCTGGAAGTTTTAGATCTGCGCTAATATCTTCAGGCGAGGAACTGGAAATTGATCTTCTGAAAATCAAAGGGGTAGGAGTATTATTTTCACCCTTTCATCAGCATTTTTAAACATCCGAGACATGAGATGGCTGTGCTCGATGGAAGCGCTGAAGTCTGTCTAGATAAACGAACCAGAGGTCGTCCTAACAGAAGACTCTCCGCCCTTTTTAAAGGCATCGACAGACAGCTGCCCTTGAAATCCCATTTTTACTGCGAGCCCATCAACATGGTACAATAAGAAGTGGTGCGAGAAGTGACAGTCGACACCTCAGCAACTCCCCACGCAGAAAAAATTAAGACAGGGGAGATGGAGGTACACTTTTATGCCGATCAACTGTCGCTAGTGCGACCTCAGGAATGGCAACCCCGACACTGATCGGTTAGGGTCAAAGTGGTGGGGATATAAACCACAGTGAAGCTACTGGTGAGCAATAACCCTGAGAATGACGTAGTTAGTGATGACTAGATATGATTATGACCCTGATGAAATTAACCCCAAAGTTGATTGGCTTGCAAAAATGCCATCTCATTTGAATAACTAACCGCTTTGGCACGATGCTTTTGACATAGGAGAAGAAGTTTAGCTGATTTTGGCATTCGGGCGCAGTACTGAAGCAAAGCTTTAATTTGTCGTAGCAGTCGAAAATACACAACTGATCTGCGAAGACAACTCAAGGGCACTAAAAGACATTCGTGAGCTGAAATGGAGAGAGAGAGGGAAATTAATCAAACAACCGTCTCTAACTAAACCGAGCTCATATCCTCCTGTGGCCTATTAACAGTCCAGATAACTCCCCAAATCAATAACGTAATCAAGTGTCAAGCCCTTATTCCCACGAAATGATCGATGAGGTTGTAGGGAGGGCGCGAGGAGGACCAACCTTTGACAGGGAGGCGTCTAGGGTACCTCCGTTGACGTGAAGGTCGCAGCATCCGAGGCAGATGCGGTGTGTGAAGATGAGCTAAAGGGCAGTGAGAAAAAGGACATGTAACGAGCTAAAAAGGAGTGAGGGGAGGAAATTACGGAAATGTAACGAGATACCAACACAGCTATTGGACAGGGCTTTAAATGTGTACTCTCGACAAGGGACACGCGGAGGGAGCACCAAAGATGCGTGCTCAAATTGGGACAAAGTAATCCATCTATTTCATAGAAAGACACTTGACAGATTCGCAATTTATCTTACAATCCCAGGAAGCCGAACAGGCAGGTGAAGCAATAAGTATTCAAAAAGATATTGGAATTTAAACGTAAAATAGATTGCGAAATAATCAATATTAGTGTCAGAAACTGCGGGTTTACTAAAAAAGTCATTTAAAACTCACGTTAAGTCTTGAGTTTAAACGGTTAAAAAGGGACTCCTCATTGGCTAACTTCAAGGCTGGAGCCAGTTCGAGGTTACCATTTAAATTAAAATAATTTGGAATCTCTCGATAACAATTAAACATTATCCATACTAATGCAAGCTGGGTGCTCTCCAATTAGAATTCTTCCAGTTTTTTGGAAAACGTGTGTGTCTATACTACTGTCGGTTCCCAGGCCATATTTAATGATTTCGTTAACGGAAAAAAACACGATATGGGGCTAGTTGATAAAAAGGACATCTGGGCCTTACAAAAAACTGTCTAAACGTGAATGATATGAGATGAGTTAGTGTACTCTACCCGGGTGTTCTATTAGTCATGGTGGCCTCGCCGACATTGCAAGTTTGTGAGACTATATCAACAACAAGCGGATGAAAAAGACAAGGAGCATTGGAAAGGCACACCGTATAATCATAACTCACACTCTCTGATTTCTCGTGGTTCCAGGTAGTCCTCAGCGCTACAGTGTTGCAGGGGCTCGATCTTTCTTAAGAACGAATCGCCACTCTTCGAAGAATGGGATAACTCGGTGTAGATGAGGAAACCAATAGCAGCAGCGTAGGAGTAACTGTTGTGAAAGTTGGTGGGGGGTGTTTCGTTACGATGGTAAATCATCGCAGCGGTGGAATGCCGTTTTCGTCGTGAGCATCGCCATGAGCAGCAACACCAGAGGGTCAGTGCAAGCAGCGATGTAATAGCCAACTGACAGACGACTATGACACCAATTTGTTGAGCTGAAAAAGGAGAGTAGAAGAGGCCATGCAAAGGAGTAGGCGTCTTTAGCAATGGGATAGTTGGACGTGATAAAAATGTCTTCAAGCGATGATTTTACACTTTGTTCCGCCTGAATTATGCCGGCGAATGGCAGTTGCGTGTCAACCATGTTAACCGAGCAAATATGTCACTGGTCATCTCCTGAGCACCCATTCACCGCATAACTTCGTGCTTCCAATGCATGTACTACTTCGTCGCCAGATTGCTATGTCCGCTGTGCAGGTGAATGCAAAGCACTATAGACACAGCCATTCGCGATGCGTGTCCTGATGAATCCCAATCAGCAACTACGATCCAGATCTACCCACTTGATCTGATACAACTTGTAGGTATGTGGGAAACTTCTTTTGTTTCGATCTAATTCCACAAAGTCAATGGGTAGGTCAACAATCAGAAGGACACTAGATTGGGGTGGTTTTAGAAGGTCCTTCGCGGAGCTGCAACTGTTCAAGGAAATTGATACCATCTCAGAGTTTCCACTAGATGACTGGAGGTAACGTAGACGACAGCATTGGGATATATCGACCGGTTTCCTTCTACGTCTTTGATCAACGGCGGCATGTACAGACGTCAAGTGCACTGTAAGCCGAGCTCAAACTCACGTACATAAGCGCAAAAGTACACCTAGTCTAAGTGCAGATTCGCCCTTCCCAATCCACCTACTCACTCACCAAGTGCAAGGTAGCGACTGCTGTCGGGAGTTGAACACTTCGGAATCTGCAGATGGCGGAAGGCGTATTTCTCAAGGTACCGACAAACCACGAAGTAGTCTCCTCCACCAGTCTGTCTGATTGAAGCTTTTGCGATAAATGTGTCCATGTTTTCATCAACCTGTGCCAAAAAACTGGGAGCTTCGAGTCAGTCCCTTAGGATAAAAAGAAGATGGTACGGATCAAACAAACTAACAGAGAAGTTAAGTAGTGAAAGACCATTGCTCGGGAGATCAGCCCAAGAGCCATTGCAACGTTCCAAGTCGAAAGAGTGGGAGGTGATGTATAATTCCACGGACTCCTCCGGGACTGTGCATGTGACATTCACAACATCACCGCACCCAATAGACGATACGGTGATGTTCGGTGGTTTTATTAATGATGCGATCTCACGCAAAATTTCCAAATCTTCCTCACTTTCTTCGTCCAACAACTCGTCTTCATCAAATTCAGTGTCTGAAAAGAAGGGTCTGGGGGAAAAACCTCAATTCTGACACAGATAAAGTTTACTTACCTTTTGGGGTTTCCTGGTTGTTGAAGGAGTGGTTGGAAGCTTCGGCTCTCATAGACAGTTCGCGCGTACACGTGACAGGTAATGGTTTTTTGAGGTTGCCTTTTTAAAACTAACGTAAAACGATAACAATTAAAACCCTTTAAGAATAAGTAGTCTTGAGAGCAGGGAAATGAGAGATTGTGTGTGGGAGACTAAAATTAAAAATAACGTGGTGTAAATTAGTAGGTCGCATTATTATGGAGTAATAAAAAAGACTTACGTTAACATTTGACTGATAATCGTGCTCTGAGTCCATATCGTCAGGGAGGCTATGTGTCCATTTAACTCTGAGATCAAATAATTGCTTTGATAAAGCGAAGTGACATTCCAGTTCAGTGGCAGGTTCTCGGAATGTGTAAAAACCCGAGGGCTGGAATTGTAGATCCAAAAAAAGTCACCTTAAAATTTAATTAGTAAGAATAATTTACCCCTCGCTGATTCTACGAGGAAGGGAGTTGTGTCAAGAAGCTGGGCACAGACTGGGACTGAACAGGTTGAACCGGAACAACATTGATAAAACCCGGAATTAGACTCGACCCCATCTGTAACTTGAAGAGTCCCATTTGAAAACACGATCAATTGACTGCAAAACTAAGGCAGAATTAACATTAAACGTACTTGGAGGGTCTAATAGGAGAACCATTGTGTATCCAAGTTCCGGAAATTAGCCTTCCATTTTGGGAAAGAGGGTGCATATAAAAACTTTGATGGGGTTTAAAATATACGTTAAAATATATTGCGTTGCACAAAGATACCAAAATGATGCACATAAAGTGCAAGGCAAGTAGCATGTAGGAACTAGTGCAAACTGGGACCCCTCAAAACAAACTCGACAACATTATGGCATTTCGAAAGTGCTTCAAAGTTACTGACCTCGGATTTTGACTCAGCCGAAGGGCCTTAAGGCCAACACAAAAATAAACTACTTCGTTAAATTTAACTAAAATATAAGAATAAACAAATTAACTACATCGGATTTTGTTAATATTGGCTCAAGAACAATAGTGCACGGAAAATTTAAATTAAGTACAGAAAAACGTTGGTAATCGATACTATGTTCAATAATCCCACACATTTCTAATAACTTCAACAAACCCTTCCAAGATAACAGATTTTGGTTAGGTATTTGTGAGCCACAGACCCAAACTTGGCCCCCTATCCCCGTCCCAGAGCATCAGGCTCCCGACAGGCGCCCTGCAGCTGCCTGGAACTGGTGACTGAATCCAAAACTAACCAGACTCGGACGAAAACCCCGCCCACGAATCGAAAAATCCTCATACCAAAATGTCCCTTCTTGACTCTTAAAAATGAAAAAATAGACGTCAAATCAAATTTTGATGCTGTACAGTGGAAGAACCGTCGCGACCGCTCGCAGGTCTCGATGCCAATTCAGGAAACGCTATTTTCGCCGATCCCGGCAGCACACGACACACATCCTCCTCCCTGATAGCCTGAATCAGCTGTTTCTCCAATTCGCTTGCCGCTTTGTCCATGGTGAAGTGCCTGATCGCCAACCTCGTAACTACGCAGAGGAAAAGAATAAAAGTATCAGAGGAACTCTAGTATTTAACTTACTCTCGCCTTTCTTCTGAACTCCCGGGAGTAGCTTCGCCTTGTACTTGAATTTCTGCAGAGCGCTGAATGGCGCACAGAAGGGTAGTGCAAAAAGAAGACTGTCCTCACGCACCGGCTGCCCAGTCAACGTCCCCAACATTGAAACTTCCCCCAATTCAGCAGCAGAATCGTCCTTTAAATCACCTTCCTTCAATTCTGGAACTGTCACAACCGCCTTCTCCTTCTCCAACTCATCAGCCGCCTCTGAAGGTCCCCTCTCCTCATCGCCCTCCACCTGTGGAAGTGATTGTTCTTCCCTTTCCTCTTGTTTCTCCACTTCTTCTTCTTCTTCTTCTTCCTCCTCCTCCTCCTCAGGTCGAGGAGCCTTGCCGAACGCATGGACCGCGCTCAGCTTCCCACTTGCGCCTTGAAGAATGCGCTGCCGCATCTGCCGCTCCTCTTCATCCTGATCGGCATACTTCTGCCGAATGCGCTTCATTTTTGCCTTCTGACCGCGTTTGAGTGGATTTGGGCCTGTAGATTTGGCCTTTGGTTGGGCTCGGCTTGGAGGAGTCTCTTTCGCTTGGGCATTCCCCTTTTTGCGCTGTTGAACTGCCTCTGATCGTGGTTTTTTGATCCTAAAAATAGATAGGAGAATGTCATAAGTATTCAAGCTAAAGCGGGATTTGTCCCTAAAAACGCGTGTATCGGTCAGTCCGATCCAGTACGGACGCCTTAGACAAGGCGACAGGCAATGGCGACAGTACGTGCCTAATTGAAGTAGCATTTGGCCATGAGCGCGGCTTCTTGTCACAGAAAAAGTGAAATCTAAAACCTGTAGATATTCACGGAAGGATTTTTAACACAGACCGATGATAGTTAAAACGCTCCTGCCAGTGACAACTCCAGCCGCGGTAGATCTATTCGAGGCACATGACACAGCGGGACTTGTCATTATTTGGAATAAAGCCTATATTCCTAAAAGAGCACCCTAGAGGTCAGCATTTCAGCATCAGCAGTACTGACAAGGCCCTTCAGGTTAGATAGAGAGAGGACGGTGGCTATTCAAATCAAAAGTCCCGGTTTAAATTGAACACTACGGATGCGGCCCCCCTTGAACCTCCGAAAGCGAGAAAATACACTCACCTATTGATATTCAGATTAAGTGTCACGTTGCTAAAGGCTTTGGCAACATCGCTCTCTTCTTCATCTTCTTCTTCAGCGTTGTCATCTGCCTGCGGTGTAATATCGTACCTCTTCAGAATGGCATTTGTTTCTTCTACAGCCTCCAAATCTATGCAACGTTCCCCAACATGTCGTTCCACCGAATCCTCGCCGAGCTAAAGGTCATTAAAAGGAAGAAATATGACCTGCTGGGTTTCTTTCAACTAGCCAGTCTAGCCAAATTGGTACAGTGAGTGGATTTAGGTCACTGAAGGCCAGGTCAGGTGGGTGGGGAATTCAAGAGAAGGCGACGCAAAGGTGCGACTTGAGTCAGGTTTGGAGTGTTTGGTTTTATGCGGAATTAAGCAACAACCGGCTACAAATAAAGCTGAAGGAAACGCGACTATACTACTTAAATCCAAAGTCAACTGCTCTTCACCTTGAACAAAATTCCAATGCCATAAGTGAGGAGACACTGAGGCAGCACATTCTTCCTGCCTCGAATCACAAAAGATCCCGTCGGCAAATACGCCCCAGATGGTGCAGTCTTCGAGACCTGATCGTACCGCACCCACCAGGCATTAGTGATGACTTTGGCGGACCACGCGTTGCTCAGGGCAACTGCCATATGGCCCGCCTCGAACAGGGTCCGCATTGGTGGTTGGGGGATAGCAGTTGCGCTGTCCTCTGAATCTGCAACCAATCACTTGATTATGAAAGTGATCTGGGGGGAGGGAAAGTGGATATAACCTACGGAAGAGGTTAGATTTAAACGGTGGCACTACATGGTGTCTCACAAATAGCTGGCACGCATTTCGGTAAGTAGGTACATGGAACAGAACAGGAAAGTTTAAAGCTCGTCCAGAAGAATTTACGCGGATGGAACGCTCTAATATACGCAGCAGACAGGTGACATTCGGGACAGGCATAGCGAAGGCAGCCGAACGTACACGTTCGTGGCTACCGAGTTTCTACGCTGTGTAAATAAAAAGTCGTAGAGTGGAATGCTTGATCCTGGACAGATAATTAACGCACAGAGGGCGATTCTCCCTCCAAGAATGAAAACGAAATGGTCACCGCACGCCGAATGTCTGCGGGTGATTCAGCTGCGTTCCACATGGAGGAGTCGTTAAACGTCGAAGGATAGACGATTGGAAGAGAAAAGTACCTCACTCCCTTTTGAAGTCAATCCTTCCCATGTTTTTTTATTAACTTACTAGTTCTACTTTGACTTGAATGTTCTCCCTTACCTTCAGTCGGCTTCTCGCAGGCCTGAAGCGCTCGTGCCTTGACGATAACGCTGCTAGCACCATGGATGTCGGCGTGAACGTAGATATCGTGTTGGCTGAAGTAGCGTTTGATGAGAGTCTCGTTTTGAACATCATCTCGACCGGCCAGCACAAGGTAATTGTCCGAGCTAATGAACCAGTGGAATTTCTCAAACCTAGAGGATTGGATATAATGGAGATATGAGTGGAGGATAGAGGTGGCAAAGAAGGGTGACAGCTTAAGCCAAACTTGTTGATAATCTTTGTTAGGGCTTTCAGCTGACCATCGTCGTCGAATACGTTGTGAGGCATTTGAAGAGAGGGCGCTATGCTGTGGCGGAATGTACCTCAAGATACTCAAAGATCTTGCAGCACGGTCAGGAAGACCCTCTCTTCTTGATGACGAAGGACTCAAGTCCACAAGATCTTATGAAGCAGTTTGGTTCCACCTATGTTAAGGGTGACGGAAGCTTGACAAATGACTCCCCGGCCATCAATCAACCGGTGTAGTGAGCGTGGCCAGTAGCCAGTCAATCACTTTGGTGAAGTTTCGAGCGACTGTCCGCAGGGCCAGACTGATTGGTTTTAGCAGATTTCGCACTTCCGCATCCGTTCAACACACATCTGCTTTGAGCGCATTTATCACCTCGGTCTGAGCTCAGCCCTTCAAAAGTGAGATGACTTAAGTAGCCTAAAAAAGCTTTGTCCATCAGCGCTTCGGAGTGGTTTTACGAAGAAACTCGTCTATAAGGAAGAGGGAAAGCAGAAAACTGTCCTCCCACCTACACGTGGTGCAGCGTAGATGATTCGTAAGCACTTTACTCTGGACACTACGCTGCCCTGCTACTGCGCCTTCTCCGAATGCTACACAAGGGTATCGTTGAAGCCACGGGTACTCAACCGATATTCCATGGCATAACAATTCAAAAGAATAGGCGAATAGGAAAAAGCACAATAAAGAACACCGTAGCGGTTATCTAGCAAACCCAAGACAAGTTGTGCCTTGTAAAGAGATAACCCAGCATTGCACTAACGCTCCCAGTGAGGACGGAAACAGCCATCCACCCTGTTTGATGTTGAAGTCGAGATGAACCGACCAACTTGACCAATTCAACTGCCATCGAAAAGTAAGAAGAACATCCCACACTTTTTCCATTGATTCAAGCCTAACCGGTATCTGCTAGAGGAGTATACTACAGATGGAGAAAATACAAGTGTCACATAATCTCGACGCCGGATTGAGAGGAGGAAATTGAGGCGTCGCACCGTACGACCATCAGCGACTAAGGAGTTGCTGTTGGACCTTTCTTATGACCGGTACCTCCCTGTGATCGTGGGTGTTGCCAACTGGGCGCCTGGAGTCACAACGACACGGTCAACTTCAAACAGCAGGAGAGAGGACTCTCCCTCCCTCTACTCTGCCCCAAGTATCCGCCGGTGCAATGTGTTGACGTTCCACAGCCAAGTGACGAATAAGAGAACACAACGAATTTCCAGACCTCCCCCCGTCATGGTTACCGCCTCCAAGGTAAATGTCAAGGAACCGATGGATTCTTGAGCCCTCTTTATCGGCAGAAATCACATCTTGACTATTTATATCAGAAGGGTTTACTTCTACCAACCCTGACAAGTCACCCTTTGTTTAAGAAAATTCCCACGGACTTAGAACACGTCATATTGTTCTATAATGCTGGCCGGCAAGATTGGAATGAGTGAGTGATCTACCTACCAGAGGTAAAAATAACTAGCCTTTCCTTCCAAAGATAGTAACATACTCACCAAAATGGTTTCCGGGTTTTGGCTAATTTTGGTGCTTCACGAACCCCTTTCCGCGTCTTCTCTGCCTTCCTAGACGCCGCCTTCAGGGCCTGGAAGATCCAATTTTGAGAATAACAGAGCCAATGCAAAAAGGTAGAAAGTGAGGCTAATGAAACTTACAATTGCTGTCCCCGCAATTGTCTTTCGTTCCTTAGCCTCTGCCTGTCGTCGATGTGTGTAGTACCTGTGAAGAATATTAGAATAACCGCCCACTTGATTGTGCACGAACAGTTTAATTAGAAGAATTTTACCCACTTTTTGGCGTTTTGAAAGGCCGTGGAGTCCAGATCCACTAGAACCTCCTGAGTGATCGCTTTCTCATCTTCATCTTCCGCGTAAAGATTACTAAGCCGCAATATCGCCTGATTCGAAGCCAGTTGAAGGCGGACGATACAATTAGCCACAGGATCATTCCCTCGTTCTTTCTGCTTTTCCAGCACCTCTTCCAACACTTTCCAACTTGTCTGATTGGCTATCGCCGAGTTCAGCGTCATTATCACCTTGTCAACTAGGTCCATATTCAATTCCAGTAGTTGCGCCTTCTGATTATCCAAGATCTGCTCTTCCTTCAGGGCTTTTAGCCTCTGTTCCTGATCTCTCTTAATATTCTCCAACTTCTTGTTTGCACTCTTTGCCTAGAAAAAGTAAGAGTAAAAGAACTGTTAAATGCTCACATTTTGGATGCTATGGACCTCGTTTCGTTGAATTTCCAAGCTGGAGTAAAATTCATCCACAGCTTTATTAAAAGACGCAAACTCGATACCAGGTTTTGAAGACAGATGCGCAAAACGGAGAGGATAATAGGAATCATATCTAACGTTTGTCGAATTCAAAATACGAGTCTAACATACTTGTTCAACTTCCCAGGTTCTGTAGAGCTTGGAATGCCCAATACGACTGCAGGTGTTGAAACCGTGCCATTATCTGTAATGACTCTCTTCTCGGAGATTTGAAGAAGGACTTCACGAAGAGCACTAGCGATTTTTGTGCTATAGTCTAAGCGACAAGCGTTAGGATCGGAGGGGACTTGAGGGTCAACTTCAGGGTTTCCAGCTACTTTTCGGCGTTTAACATTTGATAGACCAGCAAGGAAGCAGCAATGTTCAATAAGACTGGTACCGTAGGCTAAAAAAGGAGTAAGTTCCATGAAATGGGGCTTACAGAAAACGTTGCTTAGCACAGAGATCACAGGAAGACGTTCTGCGCCTTCAGCCGGTAGGCCAGTGTTCCAGGGTCCGGAAGCATCAACTAGAAGATCAGCAATAGTTTGGACAAGATTTTCAAAGCTGGAGGAATCTCTCAAATCAATCAGACATTCAGGAACGGGTCTGGCTAGTTCGATGGGGAATCGCTCACGGGTGGCGTATCTGACATCCTGATCAACATCTGTTCGTGGGCGAAGTAAGTGCAGAATGGTGTAGTCAGCATCTGTCAGAAAAATATTTCCCTAGATAGCGCATCAACATAAAGTCGATAAACTCACTTTGCCGTAGAGTTCAACGATAAGATGGAAGGCGTACTGCTCAAAACCAAACGTGATATCCACCAAACGATCAATTCCCAATTGTCGGATGTTAGAAATTTTTTTATTCTTGATATGCTTACGAAGCTGTACGAGGATAGATTAAGAAAAAAAGTACAAACTTTCATTGTGAAAGTTAGAGGCATTGTGTTTTTAGGCCAAGAAAAAGATGTCAAATTCATCCTGACACCAGATTCAATAAAAAGCACTAGTTTTTCATCCGACGAAGAACTGACCACGAAGGGTAAGACGATGGAAATAAAAAAGTACCTGGACAATTTCAGCAAATATGTTTTACTGTTGACGTCATAGGCATTGACTAGGCGGTAGCCAGTAATGCTAGAAGTTTTCATTTACAAGAAAACGCACGGTACTTATTTCTTAATTCTGAAACAACTGCAATAACATCGAAGGTTTCAAAACGAGCCTTCATCCCACAAACATGCCCAGGAGGATAGTTCAGCACATTAAAGCGTGCATAATTTGGAACGACGAATAAAACAAAACCATGCAAGGGTTGAAATTTACAAGGACCATGCAGCTTAAAAAAAAGAATTGTTTTAGGAGTGGAACAACGATTAAAATGAAAGGCCATCCAATTACTATCCTGATTTACAGCATCACCACTACCGCAAATCCAATTGCATTGATACCGCTTGTCGGTTCTGTCAGAACAAAGTTTTCGTTTATATCGCGCCATAGCAGTTCTGGAGTTGAACATTTTATCTCATTGCAGAGAAAACTTGACCTTCGGCAGTTTACATTCAGCACAATGTTAGGACTAAAGGGTGTAATCAGATCACCTTTACAACGGAGGAATTTGACTATTGATGTGCAGTTTTCCTTCGTAAATATCAGTAGTATAGGTCTGCGCATAGAGGATAACCTCTTTCAATTCATTTCGGTAAAACTCATTTGATATTAGGGGGAAATTATAGAGCCACAAAAGACGCACCGATTTTAGTTTAATTCCTTGAATCACTATTCGTCGGAGTCTGTCGACCGGCATCTTTCAGAATAGGCTTATCGACAGCGGCACAAACAAAGAAAATGGTGCAGAAATCACTCTGCCGTAGCTGTTCCATAGCCTCTTATTACCACATTTGACAGGAGTCACCAGGGCTACCGCTCCATCCGATTACCAGAAGACTATGTGCTCCTTCTCCAATTATTTGACCCAAAGCTTTTCGAAAAATTTCATGGACGCCAAATGGGATGACTTCCCTCCTTACCTCAAGTAACAAACTTAGTCTTTTTCCCGTAGGATACCTCGGAGCAACACCAAAATGTATCGCCATAACCCGACCAAAACTCTGTTGAAAATAGTGTGGTAGCGAAGTAGAAATGTTTTATGAATTAAAAATAGATGATTAAAGGGCCACGACCAGTTGTCTAGGCCCGACATCTCCTAAGCCTAAGATGACATTCAGTAAGAGAAATATGGCATGGTTCCAGAATTGTCCATAGGTGTTTTGCCAAAATTTTCCCAGGTCTAAAAGCTGCAGCGAGTTGAAGGGATTCATCGCAGCGATAAGAAATAAAGAGTTAAATGTCGCCCACAGCAATCTCGAATCCGTCTATCGGAACCACGACGCTAGCCGTCCTAACCCCAGTAGCAGTCGTCTCTGGAGGACAGATATCGACACGAACCACAGCAATTGAGATCGTAGGGTCAGTTATCAGAAAAGCAGAGGCGACCAGAAAACCCTCATGGATGTGACAGCTGCCACGATATTTTACCGCACAGTTGCTATCGTATACCCAAATGCGCTAAAGACACGATTCCATCAAACCTGAGACTTATTGCCACTGCATAGAACTGGTTGTGAACCTGATTACCTCGTGTCACGTGGTTGCACCACACGAAGACCATTACATTTCAACCACCTCACTTCAATAGGATTCGACTTCGCTGAATCCGGGTATTATATGTGGCGCCTCAACATGTAGCATCAAACCGACTAATTGCAAGTCAGTTAACCACACCAACAAATATGGGGAAGGACTTTCTAAACAGTCATTCCTTGGAAGTGAAAAATACTAACACTGTTCCTGTGTGGCTTAACCTTCATGGCGGCGTCTCCACATCCAGATGTAGAGAGCACATTAATGACCACAGCCTAACTCATGCCAGGAGATAAAACGGCATCTAAACCCACACACTGGATAAGTGAGTACAAATTGCTGTTCATCTACAGAGTGGCATGGTATTTTGCACTCGACACTGTTGGTAGTCAACCAGAGGGGGGATAGTCGGTTAAGACCAAATCAACGTAGCTTCGATATTATCTTAGTGCCGTTGAATTAACAAGTTAAATCGTAAACAAACCGCGTCTGCTATTGGCAGTTGCTGTGATAAAGTTTATTAGAATAGATATGGACTTAAGAGGTAAATCAGAGCTGACTGAAAAAGTCCTTCAAAAGCTTCGTTTGTGAGACTGTGGTTCAGTTAAATCGACAAAAATGGCTGCAAACTACCGATATTTACTGGCACGTACAAAGCACAGTAACGTAATCGAGAACTGTTGATTGAATAGAACTTTGGCCCATTAGAACTGCAGTCCCAGTAGATAATAAGATGATAATAAGGTCAAGAGCTCATAAAATATACCGGCACGCCGTTTATATGCAGGTTGTACCAACAAAAGCATACGAGGGATGATAGTCGTGAAAAATTCACACAACCATGGCAGCTTACGAGTCACCACTGTGAGCGTGTTGCAAAAGATAATTCGCGAGTGCCTCAACTGGATTTGGCGGTCTTAGTGCGGAAATAGACTTAAAGGAGAAAAGCGTACCTTTCCTTTGCTATAACAGTTAATGCTTGCATTAGGATGGGAACCACTGTACGATCCAAGTACGGCCGTGTATCAAGGTACCTCAAATCGTCTCTCGATAACTCGTCACGTTTTTCACATTGACTTCCGGACATGTCTAAATTAAGAACGATCAGCGGACACCGGACGCAGTAGAACACGCAATATTCACAGGACACCAAAAAACTGTATTACCCGCCGTTATTTGCAGTCCACTATATGTCCCCAGTGGTCCAGGTTACTAAACTACAAATCATTCTTCAATAATTACACATGATTTAGCCAAGATTTTGATAAATCTGCAATAGATTTAAAAAAGCTTGTGTTTTACTACCTTTTTTTGTGGAAGTCGTGCTAATTTGCCCTTTGGAGGCATATTAGAATCGCGATAGAAGCCCTGGATTGGTTGGCTCGGTGCTTCTTTATCTGTCTGGACGGGTGCTCGTGAGTCGGACTATGGCACTTAAGAAGGAACCGGCGAAGTACGAAGCGGGTAAGATTTGAACTGCTTTACCATTTTTTAGGTGAGAAAGTGCTCTGTTTTCATGGTCCACTGCTATATCAAGCCAAGGTAAAGTTTGGCCTTGGTACTTTGCTCGCCCCCATTTTTATGAATCGATCCTTCGTTCACCTAAATTCATTTGTTGTGATGTCCAGATTTTGGACGTAAAGGTGGAGGAAGAAGAGTACCAGTACTTTGTTCATTACCAGGGTTGGAACAAAAAGTATGTAAAGTTTACTCACTTCTACCACCAGTTTAGTTGGGATGAGTGGGTTAAGGAGGAACGCATGTTCAAGTACGACGCGGAGGGGTTGAGAATGCAGAAAGACGTTGAGAAGATAGCGTATGTAAACCACCTTGATGATTAATTGGCTCTTCCCATGTAGAATGTCTGGGAAGAAGTTAAAGGTTCTGCGAAAGTCGGATCTGAAGAAGCAGCCCTATCCTCCCCCTGAGGTTATTGAACATATTGGAATAGCCATGGAAGCGGCTAGTGGTGAGTTGTTTTTGAGTAAATCGACGTCAATTTGTTTCCGTGGATGCAGTATTTTTGTATTTATAAACATTTTTATTTGCCCATCTGTCTAGCCGTAATGCTGACATTGCTTAGCCGCATTAGTTGTATATCAGTGACTTGTTTTTATTGAGACCAGACAACAAGTAAGTTGGAAACTGTACTAAATGCAGTTGAAGTTTGCTGTGTGAAAACTGTGACTATCTTTTTCACCTTTTGAATTTCCGAAATACTGGCTTATCGCTCAACACGACAGAAGGTCCCGAGAGCCCCAAGCCAGAAGAGCCCGAGGCTCCAGACACCTCGGATTCCGATTTTCAGGCTCCAGCACCTCCCGTCAAGACAGAAGGAGACCCAGCCCAACTTTTGCCCCCGCCGAAAGCTCCACCGAATACCAGTGGCAGCAGTAGTCGCAAACGTCGAGCTCGCTCGATCGCCAGTATTACTGGTGAAACTGTGAGGCTTCTACTTAACTTACCATAGATAGTCTTGTCTCTGTAACTGAGGCCCTGTCCTTTCCCGTAGGAGGAGGGTTTCCTGAAACGAACGCAAATTAAAGTTGAACTAACAGATACGCTCAAAGCCTGGCTTGTTGATGACTGGGATCTCACCACCAAACAGTCTCGGGTAATTCTGTTTTACAATAACGGCTGTTGGCCTCAATTCTTCCTATCCTGAGCACTTTCATAGATTCACACCACTGAATTCTTTTTCTTTACTTTTTACCCCTCTCCCAGCTGGTTAGCCTGCCCGCACGTATACCGATAGCCCGTGTGTTTGATGACTACTTAGAACAAAGTAAGTCACAACACTCCAACAGCACCACCACGCAATCTCCCTTCACCGTAACGCAAGAATTCCGACGTGAATTCGTTAACGGCTTGAAAGTTAACTTCAATTTTATTCTGGGTTCTCAACTCCTGTACAAATTTGAGCGGCCGCAATACGCCGAACTGTTGAAATCGCATGCAAGCTTGGAGATGGTGGATCTCTACAGCCCGATGCATCTACTTCGGTTGCTCGGTAATTGCTACTTAAGTTGCGTTTAAGTAGAATGAAATTTGCCTCTAATGCAAGGCGTTTTCGCGCTCGTTTGTTCTTACAGTCCGTCTGAGGGATCTAATCACATTCATCAAGGCTGATCCAACCAGTGTGAGCCTATTGGAGGCAGTAACTGCTGACTTTGTTGCGTAAGTTAGTAAAGAGTGAAAAAAAATCTAACCTCCACTTCTTATTTTCATGACTTTTCTGTCTCTGTAGATTTTTGGACAAAAATAACGAGGAGTACTTCAAGTTGGAGGACTATATCAGCGCTACTCCTGATTATTTGCGTGCTGCCATGTGCTGAAGTAATATGGATTTCTTTTTGTATTTTGATAAATGCTTTAATGTATGTGCACATTTTTATTGTTTTTTCCTCGAGGCTTTTGGTGGGAAGCGGTAGGGTGGAACATACTACTAACTTTTTGTCAGCGACCGGCACTTAAATGTTGAGTAGTGTGATGCAGCTGTCAAGATCGGAATGATGGGGTCTTGTTGCCATTTTTGACTGGGTTTTTAGGTGGAAAGAAAACGTGGACGTGGTCTAGCATCAAGGTTCTGCTGAGTTGAGGCCTGGTGCATCTGCCAAACAATCAAGGTACTTGGTTTGTGGATGCCGGAGGGAGGAAGGTTAGTGGGATAGTGCCAGGGAGTGGTGCCTTCATCCACTTCCATGGGGATCTAATCTCTGTACACGATTGTTAAGTACCCCATCATGATTTCGGGGTGGGGAAAAAAAACAGTGAGGGAGGCAAATCTAAATTGCCAAGGGTCTCGATTTCCTTCTTTCAATGCCTCGCTTCAGCATTATCGTAGAAGAACATCCGCTTTGGGTGGAGGGCAGCAAACACCACAATGGATTTCACTCTTCCCTATCTTGGGGTCTGCTGTAATAGCCAATGTCAAAGGATTTGAAAGCGTCACATGGAGAGACGCTTACGTTCTCCTGAGCACTCGAAAGTGTGAAATACTCCTAGGGACTATTTATTCTGCCTCGCAGAACTCCCAGAAATCCCCTTTTTCCATCATTCACAATTCCAAATCTATGCCCTGGTAACCGACATCCAACTCTTTCTTCTCCCTGTGATTCGTCCAAAACAGTTTCTTCCCTTAAGTTGCTATATAAAGGCAATTTTGGGCCCCAAATTGGGGCAAAATAATACCATTTTATGGACACTTGAAGCCCACCTTTTTTCCTTGACTTTCTTCATTCAAAATCCCATTTCCTCTCCTCACAGGAGAAAGTAGTGCCTTAATTCCTTGAAAAGTCCGCCATGTTACTTCGTTGTCTCCTGTGAAATGCTTTAGCGATAAATCGATGCTTCAATATTTTTCGATCTGTAGACATTCAAATCCACACATACAGTTCTCAAACGCTCGCCCGCGAGAGGACACACCTCCGTGAAGGTACCACAACAGCCGTCAGTATCCACAATCTAACCTCTCCAACTGCGTAGCAGCATCGAAGATGAAACCCCACTCCCTAATCCATCTGGTCCAAAATCAAACTGATCATTTCTTATTAGAATCTGTTTAGCCGCGAAGTTGGAAATGCGAGGTAAAAAGCCCCACGGAATGCATGGTATAGAAACCCTTCCCCCACTCCACCCCCCTCCACTCTACCCCTCTCGCGCTCCTCCGCGTCCGCCTTCTCTTAAAACTTTCTACAAGATCTCAGCAAGTGCTAAGACGTGTGCAAACCGGCGCGGGTGCAAATCGAAGCTCCACAGTGTGCACTCCTCAAGCCTTTCGGCGCGCGAGCACCGCAACACTGTGCTGGATCGGGAGAATAGACGCCATGCCCCGACCAATGAGGCGATAGCCTTGGGCCTCAACCGCCGATTGGCTGGGCTTGGTGTAACGACAGCAACTCGGCCACCAATCGCATCGATCGCCGGCACGCGCTTCTTGTGATCGCGCGCAAACAATTGTTGTGGTGAACTCGTGCAAATTTCTTGTTTCGATTTTTTCCCTCGCTCTCCATCTCTGTCACTCTGCTCAGATCGATCGATTGACTGGTTGACCGATTGATTGATTGGCTAATTGACTGTTCTGTCAGTGCGTATGGATTTCTCCATTTCCCAGTTCACTGGGGAAGCGGGCATCTCGGAGGCTAAGGCGTCGCCGCTGGCGTTGGTGAAGAATGATTTTGCTGACACTGATGTCAGTATTAGCTATGCGTCTACCACGGAGACTGCCGAGATCTTTCAACACCTACCCACTAATATGTATGCCAATATTGTCTCTGGTTACCCCCGATCTGAGGCCTATTCTAGTACCTGTTTCCCCTATGCTCATGTTAATCCCGTCATGACGACAGCCTCGGGTGGAATGCCTTTTTTTCCCTACGTTGGAACAATTGATCAGCAGTCATTGCATTCACAACATCATCAACAAGAGGTGGAGGAGGAGCGTCTGAAATCTACCTGTTCCACCAGCCAGATGCCTGCTGGGACGGAAAGCGAGCAGAACTGTTACTATTCTACTGAAACACAAGAATATGCCACAGAGGACGAACAAATAACAAACGTAAATGAAGCTTACAAGTATGAGACCCTAAACAACTTTAAAGATACTGACGAGGAGGAAGAGGTTCTTGAAACTCGCCTAGATGAAGCCTTGCCTGATTGGGCAACGAGTTCGACAATGATGAACACGTCTACAGAGGGCATGGTGCAGTCTGCCGAGGTTTCAAGGACCTCCACGAATCAGACTTACACTTCAGCAACTGAACACGAGGGCCTTTTGGACTGCTCTAATCGCAGCTCCGATTCCAAGACCTATGACGAGACTGGAGGTGACTACTGCTCCACAGACCAAAGTTTGAGCGTCTCCCAGGATCAGCAACACCAGATCCAAAATACCGATCCCTCCTTTCAAGAGTCATCGGCGGTCTACATGACTTCCGAAATGCCGATTGCAGAAAATCAGCAGCCTAACTATCCACCGAACGTGACCTGCGCTCAGTCAAGTCTAATGCCCCCAATGTTTCCCTACCAGTACCTCTCTTCCGGTTTCACAGGTGATCAAAACACCTCACCAATGGAGGGAATTGTCTCGCAAAACTTTGTATTCAGTAATCAAAGCGCCTCAACTATTAATCCCTACACCGGGGAGTTGGCCAATCCTCATGCTCTGAGAATGTCCTCCGAGGCAATGGAAAGCTCTATCGATAAGGCTCTCTTCACCCGTAAGTGTAATCTGTTGACCACGCTTTTGCTAAACCCTCTTTGCACAACTTGCACACGAGCATTGAAATACGCGCGGAGGCGATTTAATCGATTTTTTGCGCCTGGACCTTGTTTGCACGCTGAAAAATCGATTTTTGTGCTACACAAAGCGGACAGCTGAGCAGAGATCAGCGGCCCGGATTGCGTTGGGACGGCATGACAGCATCCGCTGTCTCCACTTTTCCTTGTTTTACCTTCTTCTCTCAATGAAACACGACTAAGACAAAGTTAGACGTTCAAAAGATGGAAAATGTGTCGACGCCACTGTTGTTAAGTTTATTGTCCTTAAAGTGCACTTCTTTGTGTCGAATAGGCGGTGGGAAGCGGAAGGGGGATGGTGGAGACGACGCCGCAAAAGTACACTACGTTAAAGTCTAGTCGGTTAACTCATGCAGGCGGCGGCGGCGCAACTGGCAGCCGTGGGACCGTAAATTTTCCCTCTGCGATTAAATGATTGTAGATCCAGACTCGGCGGGGCCGGTGGATTCATGGACAGGCTTTCAGAAGGGAATGGTAGCGAATGCCCTAGCCTCTCAAAGTCACAATGATCTTCAACTCGGTCAGATGTCGGATAGCGAGGAGTTGAACACCAAGGAGTTGGCACAGAGGGTGAGTGCTGAGCTGAAACGCTACAGCATTCCACAAGCGGTGTTTGCGCAAAGGGTGCTCTGTCGAAGTCAGGGAACTCTGTCAGACCTACTCAGGAATCCGAAACCCTGGAGTAAACTGAAATCAGGGCGAGAGACCTTCAGACGCATGTGGAAGTGGCTTCAAGAGCCAGAATATCAGCGGATGTCGGCGCTTCGGTTGGCTGGAAAGTATCTGCAAAATTCAACAAGTAAGAAATTTTAAAGCTGCAAATAAACTGCAAAACATAACTGAATAGCACAAACCGTTTAGGCAGAAATGTATTAATTGGATCTCTTTGGATTTAAGTAGAGTTTGTTTTTCTTGTCAGCATCATTCCCGACAACCCTCTTTATTATCCTTCGGGTCCAGCCGTCACAACATTGTCAGTACATTAGAATGTTCATTCAAATGAGAGTCTGAACTTTCCGTCAAAATCAAAGATGCAACGTGTCAATCCTCTTGCATTTGGAGTTTTGTCTAGCTCATCAAATTAGGAAGGAAGGTCCATTGGCTTTGTTTTTCTCATTCCTGAACGACATATTTCGCACAAACTTTTGCTTTAAATTAGGGCCATAATTGAATGTAGCTCTACGAAACTGATGTTCTGCGTTTCCTTCTTTTTGCTGCTTAGTCGTCTACTTGGATTCTGTTTAGGAAGCAATGACTTAATAAAGTCACTATTTTTCCCCGATATCCCTCAAGAAGTCTCTCACTTGTCACTTACTGCGGATTGAATTACTTTTGTCAAATGACTTCTTTTTATAACGCTGTGGTCTTCCAACTAGCCATAGGTCGGTTCCACCAAGACGGGAGAGTAAACAGCTTGCATTGTTGGAAGTAGGCATTGCTCCGTTCCTTCACAATTGATGTATTAAAATGTAATCTCTAGAGCGGATTCCTTTTTAAGGCACTCTGTTCATTTAACTATGAGCGGCGGCAATCTCTTGTGAAAAAGCGGATCCTTAGGTCAGCTTATATTAACCACATTTCATTATTTTGTCCTCGGTATCCTTATCTTACAGACAAATCTTGGACGGGTAAAGAGAGCGAGTGGTCGGTTGATGAGCGTATAGAATTCTGATTTCTTTAGTTTCTTTTCAGGATCCTTCTAGCCGATTCCATCCTGACCACGTCCTGTGGATAGACCCCAGCAATCAACAAGTTCTTTTCGACTATTTTTTCTCTCTGATTCCTAAAGAGATCTAATTCATGCCTCCTCCTCCTC